GTGTCCTCAAACCTTTTAAACAGGGGGCCAGTTCACTGTCCCTCAGACCATCAGAGGGCCAGACTATAGTTTAAAAAAAACTATGAACAAATTCCTATGCACACTGCACATATCTTATTTTGAAGCAAAAAAACAAACAGGCAAAAACACCCGCATGTGGCCCACATTTGAGGACGCCTGCGTGAGCTACTGCACCTGGCCTATAATACAGATTTTTTAAAAGAATGATTCATTGTGCTCTTTTCACTAAATTTTTTGAAATTTATTCCTGGGCTATTTTACCTAAAGTTTTACTGTATTCCCTCTAAGTAAAGCAACCAAAAACTATATGGTTGTTTTGAATTTTTGTCTCCCTACCTTTTAGACATTTCTCTGCAGTTGCTAGTAATGCTGTTGGTAAATTTGCTTTTGCTATTTTTCTTCCTCTGCAACTTCTGCTATTTACCTGTTCTTCATCTCTTTATAATTATATGGCAGAACTGAAGACATACGTGATAGGTAAGGGAAAATAAACTAAAAAAAAAAAAAATAGACCAAACATCTAATGGCTCACATACAATTATACATAGTTTATTTCTCCCTTGGTCCAAGTATGTGGGTGGCTCCTTTTCTTTCAGAGATCCTCCGTTCCTTCCATCTTCTGGATCTGCCATCTCTTAGAGCATTGTTATCATCTGCATCCACCTAGGGAAAGGGAAGAAAGAGCACAGAGAAGAAGTGCCTATTTTTCCAAAAATGCCAACCTGGAAATGGCATGTTACATTTCCACTTACTTTCTATTGGTAAAACTTAATAATACCTAAGAGGTAAGGGAAGTTGGAAAACGTAGTCTCACCACAGGCCATGCTATACTGCTTTTACTTTGGGGGAAAAAATGGATTTTGGTGGGCCAATAGTAGTGTTTCATATAGTTGCCAAGCACCACCAAATCCTCTCTCTCTCTCTCTCTCTCTCTCTCTCTCTCTCTCACACACACACACACACACACACACACACTCTTTCTCTCTCTTTTTTTTTATGTCTGGCAGAGGAGGCCTGGCTTGTGGCTGCTGTTTTATCTGTGCTTGAGGACATTTGCACTTAGTTCCAGTTTCTGAAGTGTGTTGTGCTAGAAGGTTTAACAGTGGGCTGTTACAATAAGTGTATTCTATCCTTCAGATCACTCTAGCCTTAAGAGTATGCATTTTGGAATCACACAGAGCTTGATTCTAATTGTTAGGTTAGATTTTGTTGTTGTTTTTTTAACTGTGTCACTCTAATAAAGTTATTTAACCTTTCTGAGTCTTGGTTTTCTTCCTTTGTAAAATGGGAAAAATGTAATAGCCATCTCTCTGGGTTGTTGTGAGGATTAAATGATAGTTCATGTAAAGTAGGTAACATTGCATCTGGTGCAGAGAAAATGCCAAGTAAGTGATAACTATTACTGTTATTAATAGTAATGATGAATATTAATAATGATGAATAGTAACTATTGTTGTCATCCTCATCATCCTTAATATTTAGTTAGCTGGTCATAGTGATCTTTTATTCTCAAGCCCTTCAGTGAAGCTAATTGAAGACCTTTTTATCTGTTTGAGTTTAGGTGGCTTATTTAATCCTTTTAACAGTCATTGACATATTTTTCTGTTTGATGTCATTATTCCAAATAGTTTCTATTTCTTTTGCTTCATTATTACTATTACTATTAATAAAGAAATGTTGAAAATGTTTCATTAGTACAAGTCAAACTTATTCTCTTTTTTTCTGTATATGTGTTTTTGTATTTATCTTTCAGAGTCAAAAATTTCATGTTCAGACAAAAGGAGGCAAAGTGATCTGTCTGGGAACAATTTATGGAAATATAGATATTCATGCATCAGATAAAAGTGTAAGATTGAAACTTTCTTTTTTTAATAGTTACAATTTTGCTTCCATTTGGCTCACAGGGTGGAGAGGTTGTATAAAATTTCTGGTGTAACATTCCCTTTTTAATACATTGTAGCTCATTAGTAAATTCAAATTTGGAATTGAGGTGATAAAATATTACAGAATTTAAGTTTTAGTTTGTAGTTTAATACTTTTGACAGTTATTTAGTTCTTAATCTGTAATAAATAAATACTTAAATGCTTACTATTTAATTTTAGTTCCAAAGAGATTTTTATTTTTATGATCATACATTAAAATAGTTCATTAAGTAATATCAATATTTTGATTGGATTTTTCTCATGGATTAGGTTTATAAACCTCTGTTTCAAATTTGAATTTACTAATGAACTACTATTGAGGGGTTTCAAAACTCTGTTTCCTTCAGTATTTTCCACAAGGTGGCACCATTAGATAATTTACTGTTCTCTAAAAGCTGGATTTTTAGCAGTTATGGAAAGATTGTATTTTTTTAAGCAACTTCTTTTGTTGCTTTCTGTGATTTAGCATAGTATTAAGAGTAAGAGTATAATTTTATAATCTATGTTGTCAGTTTTTTAAATGTGATCAATAATGTTTTAAATCTTTGAGAAAATCTAAGTCTCCTTTTACTTTACAATTATGCAATTTGCAAGGGTCTTTTAAAATAAATTAGCTAAACTCTATGGTCAGCTTTATTCTTAGATAATTGGTGGGGAGGATTGTGAGCATATTTTGTAGGTAAATTATTGTTGGCATTATTAAAGTAGATTATAACACTAATCGTTTCTATTGATATCACTTTATTTTCTATCATCTTTCTCTTAGAATGTATGGGAGGCTGTTTAAGCCCAAACATTTCAATACACCCTTTAAATTAAACTAGGAAAATGTTGAAAGATACCATGTGGCCTTATGCATCAGCTCTTTTGAAATGGCATTTAGTTTCACTTCTCAGATAGCTGTGGTCTTGGAGGTACAAGAGGGAAATTGGACAAGTTTGTAGCACCTTCAAACTCAGTTCCTTGTATGATGGCTAATGTTATTTGAAATGACCTAAGTTACTGGCATATTATGTATTTATATTCAAATATATTCAATTATTTGCTATTTTGAATAGTTTGGCTACTGTTTCCTCTCATTAGTTATTTGTTCCAACTTATATGGTTTATTGCATATTCATTTATTCCTACTTTCTATCACACTATTTTATTTCTTGCTTGATTGAGTTTTGTGATGTACTTTATTATATACAGTGTTAATTTTTAATGCATATTTATAAGTTTGTGATTATTAAAAAACATCAAATACTTATGGAATCTGTTAACTTTTAATATATAACTTTCATAGGAATGTGCTTTGAATATTTGAGAGGCAGCATAGCTAATTGCTTAAGAGCACAGAATTGAGAACCAAACTACCTGTGTTTGAATTCTGGCTTGGCAATTTACGAAGCTCTATAACTTCAGACAAGTTAACTTAACCTGTTTGTCTGTTTTTTGGAAAGCGGGATAATAGTAATGGATCTAACTCAGAGGGCTGTTGTGAGGATTAAATGAATTAATACAGGCAAAATATTTAAAACAGTGTCTGGCACATAGCTAACTTTAATATAATACATACTGTGATGATGATGATAAAGGTAAAGGGATCACAAGAAAGATAACTTGACCAGATCTGGATCTACCAGTTAATTTCCCTGAGACTCAGTTTCATTATTCAGAAACAAACAGTCATATTTGTTTTGTCTACTCAACAAGATTGTGAGAATCAAATGAGCACTATAAATAATAGCTTTGTTATTTACATAGCTGTTTTTAAATTCTATCATTAATTTCAGTATCTTAAATTAGTTTTATAACTTAAAAGGGGATATAGAAACCCATTTCATTTGACTTTTTGGTGAATTAATGACATAGTTTTCAGTTTTCCTCTTTTTCTTAGTCTGGGCTACAAAGCCACAGTACTTCCTTAAAATTTGGTTTTCATTATTTTTTTTTTTTTTTTTTTTTTTTTTTGAGCCAGAGTCTCGCTTTGTTATCCAGGCTAGAGTGAGTGCCGTGGCGTCAGCCTAGCTCACAGCAACCTCAAACTCCTGGGCTCCAGCGATCCTTCTGCCTCAGCCTCCCGAGTAGCTGGGACTACAGGCATGCGCCACCATGCCCGGCTAATTTTTTTTTTATATATATATATCAGTTGGCCAATTAATTTCTTTCTATTTATAGTAGAGACGGGGTCTCGCTGTTGCTCAGGCTGGTTTTGAACTCCTGACCTTGAGCAATCCGCCCGCCTCGGCCTCCCAGAGAGCTAGGATTACAGGCGTGAGCCACCCCGCCCGGCCGGTTTTCATTATTTTTAAGAAGTACAAGTAACTATTATAAATAACAAAAAGTTATTTATAATAATTTTAAATTATTGTAAGTATTTATAATAACTAAATTTATGAAAAAATTTCCTTTTATGTAGGAAAGAAAAATCAATTTAGAATAATGCTTCTGTCAGGATGGTGGTGATTTTTGGATCTACTTCTTTCTTTAAATAGCTACTTCTATTAACAAGCAAGCTATACAGTTTAATCTAGGAAGTGTATTTATGATTTTTTTTTCCATTAGCATGATTAACTATAAATCAGAGTCTTAATATTTTCCTATAAACAATGGTATCCTAAGTTTAATTGTTTTAGTTAGAATCTGATATAGTGCATTATATGTGGCTATTAGTGAATTTTGAATGTCTTCGAAATTAATTTAATGGAATGATTGGTTAAAGTAACTATGTTGTGTTGTGGGGAGGGTATTGTGGTTTCATTTGCTTTCATTTGCTTTGGCAGGGCAAGAGAGGATATGTTTCTAGCTTCCTAGAGAGTAAAATATTTAGTGTTTAATGAACAAAGTAATGGTGGCATTTTCCAGATACTTATAAGGAGTATCTTGATGCCTTTATTTGGTTATGGGGAGAGTCTAATCAGAAGTGCCCCTTTGCCAATTTAATTAAGTTTCAAATATTCTTTAAATATTTATCTTTTGGTGTTCCCTAAAACAGCCTCACTATTTATGAAAGGCTTACTTTGTTGCCTGCTTTATGAAAATATTTGGAGAATTTGAAACCATGAGCAGAAAGCAACTTTTCACAAAGAAATTTTGTAGGTAAAGGATAATTTTTTTTCAGGAATTTTATAACCTTTACTGTAAAGCTTAGGAAGGCAAAACATATGTACTTTCACAAATACGAATGTAGGTAAAATATCTATCTTTCTTTGATAGATTTATTGAAGCTAGATTTAAAGCAAAAATTCCCATGAATTTACAGTTAGTTTAAAAGAAAACTTCAATAGATAAGAATCAAACAGATGTATATCATATACTTAATAATTAAGTCCATTAAAAAAGAGAGATACATACTTTAAATCTAGAAGGGCAAGTAATTCTCATTTGCTTCCCAGAAGAACATCTGGATACTTTTCTTTCTCTTTTTATACTTTTATTTTTTAATATTTTAGTATTCTAGAAACTCAATTCTTATTAGATAACATCTTGAACTCAACAATTTTTGAAGGGCATATTTGGAGTGGATGATACTGATGCCAATGGTTGAAAAACAGTGATGTTATTTCTTTAAACACCACACTGTACTATCTGATATTTGAAGTTGTCCTGGGACAAAACCGTGGCAAGCCTTCCTGGTGATTGTTTTATGTCAACAATTTTATATTACACTCACTTTATGCTTATAAAACATTTGTTTAAAATATTATAAAGATGATTGGAATCCTTAACTAGATATCTTCATTTTACATTATGAACAATATATGATACCTATTATCTATTATACATCTTACATTGTGAACAATATGTGATATCTATTATCTATCTATTATATACCTAAATAGATATTGAGTTTTGTATGGGAAGCTTAAAGATAAATATAAAATTCTTTCCATTTTGTTCAACCGAAAGCTACTGCCTTAGTAAATGTAAAGTGGAAACCTTCTAGAAATAATAATATATTCAGCACATTAACATACTCAAGGAGAAAAATCATGACAGCTCAACAAAGTATGTGGTAAAATTCAAACCCATTTGTGATTGAAATCGCAATAAGAATAAAACAAATTTGAAATAGAAGAAAACATCCTTATCTGACAAGAGGTAACTAAAAGATACTTGTAGTGACCACCATACTCAATGAAACGTAAGCTTTCCTTCTGAGAACAGGAATAAGGTGTAAGGATGCCTGCCATCCCATCACTTCCATTCGCTGTCTTTCATAATTGAATTGGAGGCCTGAGGTATATGGTTGAGGCAAGAAAAAGAAAGGAAAAAAAGTATTAATATAAGGATGGGAAGGGAGGAAATGAAATTATCACTGTAGACAATATTTATGCATGTAGAATTTTTTAAAATACACATAAATTAGAATTAATGAGTTGAGTGAGGTTGTTGGATTAAGATCAAATACAAAAGTCAATTAAAATAAAATGAAAATTATAAAGATACCTGTATAATAGCACTTAAATATATCAAATAGGAATAAATCTGACAAAAGATGAAGAATTTTACAAATATCAAACATTATTAAGAGAAATCAAGCAAGACCTAAATAAATGGAAGGATATATTTGGTCTAGTCCACAGTCTATTTTTATTTTATTTTATTTATGTATTTGTTTATTTTGAGACAGAGTCTCACTTTGTTGCTTTGGCTACAGTGCCATGGCATCAGCCTAACTCACAGCAACCTCAAACTCCTGAGCTCAAGCGATCCTACTGTCTCAGCCTCCCCAGTAGCTGGGACTACAGGCATGCACCACCATGCCCAGCTAATTTTTTCTATATATTATTAGTTGTCCAATTAACATCTTACTATTTTGGGTAGAGACGGGGTCTCGCTCTTGCTCAGGCTGGTCTCGAACTCCTGAGCTCAAACGATCCGCCCACCTCAGCCTCCCAGATTGCTAGGATTACAGGTGTGAGTCACTGTGCCTGGCCTCCACAGTCTATTATACAAAGAATGCACTATTGTTCACAATCTTGTAATTAGAGTTAGGGAATCAGAGTCAGTAAAATGATTGTGTACTAGGTAGTAACTTTTTATATCATTACCCACGAATGCCATAGGTATCATTTTGGCTTTTTACCAGTTTTTGTTTTATAATGAACTGATTAGAGTCTTTCTTTTACTAGACTGTGACTGTAAATAAACTGCAGGGAAGTTCTGTTAATATATCTACTGAAGATGGTTTGCTGAAAGCCAAGTACCTTTATACAGAATCGTCATTTCTGTCTTCTGCTGCTGGGGATATTACTTTAGGAAGTGTTCATGGTAAGTTGACAAAGTCCTAATATATCTCAGATTTCTACATAGCATAAATTTTAAGAGATGACTTCTCCATAGTTGAAAAAGGATCAGGAAACTGGCCTTCTAAATAATTAATTGCCAACTAACCATCTTTTTAAAAAACATAAAAATAAAATGACTCATAAACTAATTTAATTTTATTTTGGCAAGAGATGGAAGATTATGCTTTTATGTATGAAGCTAATAGTTATTCTGGTTTTTTAATGTGTTTCCTTATAACAGGAAACAAATAACAAGGAAATAAATGCAAGAAATGAAATAAAAGCAATGTTAAAGATAGGTTCTGAGTGGTTGTTTTTTATGTTATTCCATGAAAGCTAAGAGTTAAATTCATGAAACATTTGGGTGGAATCTAATTATAGCAACCTCATGATACTAATTTTGTTTAAAATGTTTTGTATGCATTCGTACTGGTACCAGGTTTTCTCAGCATCATGTCATTTTTAGTTTTCTTTGATTAAATATCCTCTTGTGAGTTCTAAAACATGTCTCTAAAGACTAGTAATATTACATAGCTAATGTCTGAAAGAAGAGAGTATAATGGTGAGGTAATATGGCAAAAGGCATACTGGTATCACTCAGCCTGTTTCTTAAATTTCCACAGAGCAGATGATTCAAATCCAGGTTATGTTTTCTGAAATAAATTATATATATGTATATATATATACCAATAGAATTAAGAATTACTTACCCTGGAAAGAAGTACAGCATATACACATCTGCTAAATGCCTTTTGGGTTATATTCCAGAAAGTATAGACTTGGACTTTTTCCATATACAGTCCACTCATTTCACTTATGTAGTGAAGCTGAATGTTGGTATCTATACACTTTGGCAACCAAATTTTAGTAGTGAGCACAAATTAGGTGGTATTAGAAAGCATGGTTAGTGCTAGCCTTGCTGTGTAGCAATTTGGTAAGTTGTCTTCTGGTTTTAAAAAAATTCTTTAATAAAGTACTTATATTCTTGAAATAATTCTTGAGCCTCAAATTAATGGTTAAACCTCAACCATTCTTGCAAGGTTAAGGTATTATTTGAGCCCAAAATAGCTTGAGTACAAGTGGAGCTATATCCAGACAAAGCAAATTCTTTTGTAACTTATTCATGTATTTAATTTCTATTCAGTTGTACATGAAGTAGATCTGGTAATTTGCAATTCTTCATATTTTAAAAATGACTTTTATGTAAGAATTGCATTTCATAATGGTAATCATAATGAAAAATACTACACTTAATATATTTAGTAGCTTTTAATGGAAATACGAGTCCTTATCAAGTCAGATGTTGATTAACATCCATGGGAAAAGCAGTTCCATTTTCTGCAGTGCTTTATACATGTTTACATGAAATTCATTAATGTTTAATTTCTTTGCTTTAAGTCAGAAAAGAATTAAATTTGGTACAGTTTGTCATTAAATCATTAATTGTGTATAGGATAGTAAAACAGGTGTACTTTTTGAGGCAGTCTCAAAGTAATCTGGGTCTGTTTATTTAAAGTAGCTAAAATGGAAACAAATTGCTAGAGATAAAAGACTTAATTCCTTAGCCTTTGCAAAGCCTTTTAATATTTACTGACCTTCACTATGAAGTCAAATACTTTTCCAAGCTGGTTTAAACCTAGGTCTTCTTTTGGACTATTATTTCAGGTTGGGTTTCCCTAAAACCACTCTAAGATGGAAATTAGAGTGCAGCAGATTTACTAGGGAGGCATCTTGGGACCAATGCCATGTAAAGGAAGGAAGCCCGATTACCATGGGAGAAGTTGGATTGTGATTGCAGTTTCAATAAACTCAACAGGGAACTCTAAAGCCGGAATGATCCCTCAGAGTTGTCTCATGTTGGGGTGAGGGGAGCTGGACCTTTATATCACCAATCATTAGATGCAGGCTGTCCCAGGAAGGAGTGTGATCTTGGGCCAGTCTGGCTCTCTTCAGCTGATGCAATTCCCAAAAAGAGCTGACAGCTGAGGGTTGTCTGCCAGCAGTACTTCCAAGAGCTGGGAAAATAAACCCTTCAGTTATGAAGGCAGTGGGGATGAGCAATTACAACATCCACTACAGTTATATTTATTTATTCATTCAACACATTTATTAACCACCTGTGTGCTGGGTTTCCAGGCACCAAGAGTGCAAAGTTGGGCAGGAGATGAAACCTATCCTTAAGGAACTCACAATATAGTGCAAGGACTGAATGTCCTTTCTTCCTTTTCTCAGTCACTGCTATCCCCATTGGGATGCTACCTCCCACCTCATTTCTAATTGTGTCCATTATCACCCTTCCTCAGCACAATGCATTCTTTTAGCTATTTCTCATAGCTTCTTTTGTACAGCAGTGAGAAGGAGTAGGGGAAGGGAAACTTTTATTCAGTTTCAAATTACAGTTATTTTCACAGAAGTAACTGTTAAAAAGCTTACATGTTGTTCAGCCCTGCTTTCCCCATCTAGTGTTTGGCCCTCACTCTGCTTTGGTTTTTTGGTATATTCAAGGGAGAAATAAGAAAGGAAACCCCTCTTCATTCCTACTCACAGCCCAGTGCCTTGACTAGTTTTTAAATGATGCTTTAGACAAGCCCAAGTGTCTTGTCTACCTCTCCGATATCACCTTTCTTTCCATCCTTGTCCTAAGGGATTATGTGAACAGACTACTGGAGTTTGGAGTTTACGGGTGGGGGTGGGATGCGTATATAAGAGCAGACAATATTTTAGTCCCATATCCTCATAGGTGAGAAGATTAGAATCATGACTGGTGAAAGTAAGTTCCTATGTTCTAACTCTTGGGATTTTAGCAGGAAGTAATGTCTCCCAAGGATCTTCCCAAGCTGGAACTCTGAATGTACATTTCTATGAATTCTTTGTTCTAAATGCTGATGGTTATATAACACAAATTAGGTATATATTAATATTTTGGCTATATTTAAACAAGCTGGCTTGGGAATCGTAAAACTTGTTTACATGGAAAATATGCTCCTACTTCTTAGCACCTGACTGACAGAAAACAAACTTTGAGACTATATGCATTCTAAGACCTACTTGTTCAGGATTTATTTAGTTTGGCTTCCTTTTTTAAAGTAAAGTTTAAACTGTTTTTTATTTCCCCTCAGGTAGAGTTGAAAAGAATCCAACATATAAATGTTATAAAAATTTTTTTTACTAAATATAATGCAATAACTGTCTTTTTAGTAGATTTTACTAGGTATATGATTTTGGTGCCCTTGTGCCAGTAGGCGGGTGGGTGGTTGTTTGAAAGCAAACATGTATTCAGTGCTTAAATTGGCCAGCCCCTTTCATTTAATGGACAATTGGCTGTTTACAGATGAGGAAGACAGGAAATGTCTCATTGTTTACTCTCAATTGCAAGTTAATCAGTAGAATAGCAAGGATTGATTCTTGCCTTTCTAGATGTTTTTAAACAGTGTTCAAACAAATGTATGTACATAGCCACCATGAACTTCTTCATTGCCACTGCAAATTCCTTCATCGCTTTGAGGGCTTCCTGGATCACTCTAGAGATGTTTCCTCTAGGCAGACAGCACTAGAACACAGATGCACTGCTTCAGCTATGTTCTATATTGTGACCTTGAGTTCCAGGATTATTTATTATAAGCCTTATGACATCTGATACAAAATGCATTTATTCCATACAGTGTTCAGGTTCAGTTCCATAGTGGCATTCAGGGACTGGACTGCTTCCATAAAAGCGATGTTGCTATCTTAAGTGTATGTCTTCTAAGGCATCCATGAAAGGAAGAGAGAGCATGAAATTTATTTCTGGTCTGTATTTTCTATTTGTTTATATACCCTGATGGCAAACTAACACCTAACATATTAATATTAGTGTTGAGTAACTTAGTGTTTATTAATGAGGAAAGGAATAATGAAAGGAGTAATTTATCTTTCCTGGCCTTGCAAATTGATTCCTATATGTGGGGAAGATAAAAATCTATCCTAAATGTTTTTCAAAGGAAATTTTTAAGTATAGCTAATTGTATTTTCTAGATACAAAAATGAATGTGCCAATTGACCAGTCATATTTATTATTTGTAAAGTTGGTTGAATCACATCTATTAAGTATGTGTGCCTTGTAATAGAAAATAAACTAGTTTATTCATTGACTCAAATATTCAGTGTTCTGGCACTGGGAATCTAGTGGGGAGAATAGGTACTTGGATAGTTTGTGTTTAGATATAAAATTCTGTGACAGTTTACTATCTGATTTCCTTTTAAATAATTGAAAATTAAATTTGGTTCTATGTGAAGGATATTTTATTATATTATGATATTTGAATATTTATGCTTTTTGAAGAATTCTATACACATACGTATAAAATATACATGTATTTATATGTATCTACTAAATATATTTTCAAAATATAAATTTACTTTCCTGACTCTTTTAGAGACGAAGAAAAACTTCCTTAAAATGCTTTGCTGGGATTGGTTTTATTTACAACATGTAATTTAAACAATTGATTATGTTAATAGTTGGAGTATCTATGATAGTTGTTTTAGTGAATTTTTAATCTTATTATTTGGAATAAATGATTAAATAAAACATATTTTAAATATTTAGATTCCCTAGGTAACTTAGAGTCTTATTTTAGGTTCTTTGGGAACATACCTTAATAGAAAAATTATAAAGTATTAGTTCTTATATTTTTTCTGTATTTCAAAAGTCTTGTGCCCCCAAAAGATTGGACAATATGTACATGCTTTAACTTTTCCTTAAATAACTACTTTTGGATTTTAGAAATTTTCACAGAATTAAAATGTACATTAACTGTACAAACATAAGTGATAACTATGATAGCACTCAGAATTTCACAAAGAAATGTCTCAATTTGCTTTAAGAAGGACTTTTAGTCACTGGCGAATTTATAAATCTGCCTCATGAACTTAAAAGTCAGAAATAATAATAAATTTTTTAAAAGATGCTTTTATCAGATTAAATAGACGTTTTCATGAAGTTCATGAAAATATTTTACTGAAATTCTAGTATTTATTCTTAGATCTATGGTGAAGTTTTGGTTTGATTATCATTTTGATACTTGATGTTGAGTCTGGACACATAAAACTTCTTTATATGAAATATTAAAAAGGAATTAGAGCTCTGTTTCTAGTGTAGTGTAGGTTTTCCATCCTCTTCACTGTAGCTATTGTAGTCTATTAGAAATGCATGTTGAACATGTCATTCTCTTATTCAAACCCTTTCTACTGCTTCAGTGACCTGCCTAACCATACCTCTTTCCTCTTCTGACCCTATGCTTTGTCTTCTAAAATTACATAATCTCTTACTTTTTCCTTGTACATATTCTTACCTGTTTTATACTTCTGAGTCTTTGATCAGAGACCTTGATCATACTGATCATGCTGTTTAAATTCCGCCTGAAATGCTGTTCCCAGCTTTTAAAAACATCTTATTGACTTTTAATAATTTTTCAGTACTCAGCTAAAGCATCCTCACCTCTTCTCTGGCTTTCCATTGACCTAGAAATTCTTTCCTAACTATAAACACCTCAAGAGTAAGGATCATGTTTTATTCATCTCTGTAGTCTTAGAATTTAGCACTATGGGTTGCAAATAGTAAGTAGCTCCCTTCCCACATCCCTCCCCTCCAAAAAAGAAAAAAAAAAAAAAAGGACTTAAACTTTAAGAATATTTGATTGCTCTGTTCGGATTATGAGAGTGTATGTGTTATTTTAACCACAATCACATTTCTTTTAGTGAAGAAAAATAAACCAATGTTTATCTTTAAATTGATTGCTTATTTTTTTTCTTCTGACCATGTTAGAATAAAGGGTTGCAAAGTAAGAAAAACTATATATTTTCTCAAATACTGAGATTTGTGGAAAAGTTTCATAACTTGAGAGTAGTATAAGCACACATAGTTATTACAGACCATATGATGTCTGCTTTATTGGCCAGTATTTGTATGTGGTGGTGAATCTATATTTACCACATTTGAAAATTGGAAGAGAGTATACAGAACACACCAATGACCTATTTACTTGACATTTAACAGGATCTTCATAACCTTGTAACTTACTGAGACTTGAAAATAATTTTATGAGTTTCTGCACACAAACCAACTTTTATTTCTAAACACACGTACCCCTTGTTCATATACTCACATGAAGTATGATGGAATGTAGACCTTTAAAGGAATTTTTATAATCAAGCAAATGAATTAAGTGCCTTTTTTGCTTTTTCCCAGATATTTGTACATGTCAGTATTTATAAGATACATGAAAAGAGATAAATGAGTTAATTTATCCTAGATTAATTCTGAGACCAAAGTTATTCCTCTACTTTTTAGTGTAGTTTGGAATTATTTTAGAAAATGCAATATTATTGCTTACATTTTGGTGGAATAAATATGAGTTCCTGACTCCGGGAATACTTATACATATACAAACACACATATGAAGAAAATCCTACTACTTTTGGTATTAGAAGAAGGGGACTGGGAAGAATGGTTGTAATATCCCATATTTGTCCTCAAAAATATTTTTTCGTGGAAAAATAGAAATCTTTGAAATTTCTTTTTGTTAGTTATACTTCTATATATTCATTATTCCTACCCCAAACCACTTTAACTCTTGGCTCAGAAACTACTTTAATCTAATAGACATAGCAAATGAACTGAAAAATAAAAGTAATTATTTTTTCCATACAATATTTTAAGTGTTACTTGGTTCAAAACTTGGCTTTATGTGGTCTGATAAATACATTGATGTTTAGGTTGAAAATGTATAGTGAGTACATTCGAGTAATTTTTTTTACTTATTGGTTTGAGAGGTATCATTATTTTTCCTCTGTTTCAAGAATATGGTTTGTTTTGTAGCTGTGCTATAAAAGTTTTAGATTTTGGAATAGAGGAAGAGGTTGGTATAGATGCTTAAAGCTAGTTGTTTCAGAACTGCAACTAAATCTCTAGATTTGTGATATTGAGAAAAATTGCCAACAATAATAACAGTTATTAAATAACATGGTAAATATCCAACCATGTTTTAGGGTTTCATATAACATAGTTCATTTCTAGATTATCCCTAATATATAAAATTATCTTATCTTTTTCTCTCTTTTACAGGTAATATAACATTACAAAGCAAGATGGGTAACATCACCGTAGGTACGTGCTAAGCTTCTAGTTGGTAAATTTTGCCCATTTTTAAAAATAGTTATATTTGTGATACTTTATTAGAGTAAATAAAGTCTACAGTTTAGCTGACAAACTTGACATGATCCTGATTTGCAAGTCAAATACAAGCAGACCCAATGTATGAATATGTATACTCAAAGAAAATTACCTGAGCTGGTATTAAATAAAATATAAATTCCTTGAGTTTTTCAAATAATCTATATTGTCTTTGAAAGAAAGAAAGATATAAATTATATCACTGTTTATTGGTCCCCAAATTGTGTTAACATTTGAAGACAACCCTGAGTATGCCAGTAATATGTATTTATCGAGTGCCTACTATATGTCTGGAATTCTTTTAGGTACTGGTGAATGTACTGGTCAACAAGACATAGTTTCTGTGCTCAGAGATCTCATCTTCTTTGAATGCTAGGAAGAAAACAATAAGCATGTAAATGTCAAAAGTTAATTTCATTTCATGATAAGTAAAATGAAGAAATAAGAAAGGGTAATAGGATAGAGACTGGGGGAAAAGAAATCTTCTTCAGTTAGGCAACCAGGGGTGGTCTGGAGAGGGGAAACTTGAACTAAGGCCAGAATAATGGGAAAAAGGCATGTGCAAGTTCTACTCGTAGCTCTTTGATCCTGGTGAATGATCCTTTTAATGTGTTGTTGTAATTGGCTTGCTAGTATTTTGTTAAGAATGTTGGTATCTATGTTCATCAGGGATATTGTCCTGTTCTTTTCTTCTTTTGTAGTATCCTTATCTGGCTTCAGTATCAGGGTAATGTCAGCCTCATAAAATGAGTTTGGAAATGTTTCCTCCTCTTCAATTTTTTAGAAGAATTTGAGAAGGATTAGTGTTAATTCTTCTTTAATTGTTTAGAATTCACTAATGAGAGTTTTTGGTTATTTATTCAATCTTCTTACTCATTACTGATCTGTTCAGATTTTCTATTTCTTCATGATTCAGTCTTGGTAAGCTGTATGTTTCTAGGAATTTATTTGTTTCTTCTAAGTTATCCAATTTGTTAGCATATAATTGTTCTTAGTAGTTCTTAGTAGTCTGTTATGATCCTCTGTATTTCTGTGGTATCAGTTGTAATAGCTCCTCTTTCAATTATAACAATATTTTTTTTTGAGTCCTCTCTCTTTTTTCCTTCCTTAGTCCAACTAAAGGTTTGTCAATTTTTTATACCTTTTCAAAGAACCAGTTCTTAGTTTTATTGATCTTTTCTATTGCTTTTCTGTTCTGTTTTATTTATTTCTGCTCTGATCTTTATTATTTCTTTCCTTTTGCTTAGTTCATTCTTTTCCTAGTTTCTTGAACTGTAAAGTTAGGTTGTTTCTTTGAGATCTTTTCTTTTTCATAATGTAGGCATTTATGGCTATCAACTTTCCTCTTAGAACTGCTTTTGCTGCATCACATACATTTTGGTATATTGTGTGTTCATTTTCATTCATCTCAAGATATTTTAAATTTCACTTTTGATTTCTTCTTTGATCAATTGGTTGTTCAGGAAGGAGTATTTTCTTTAATTTTCACATATTTGTGAATTTTTCCAGTTGTTCTCCTGTTACTGATTTCTAGTTTCATACCATTATAGTTGGAAAAGATACTTGATATGATTTTGGTCTCCTTGAATTAGTTAAGATTTGCTTTGTAGCCTAATATGTGATCTGTTCTGAAGAATGTTCTGTATGCATTTGAGGAAAATGTGTATTTTGCTGCTTTTAGATGGAATGTTCTGTACATATTTGTTAAGTTCATTTTATCTACAGTGTTGTTCAAATCCGGTGTTTTCTTATTTATTTTCTGTCTGGATGAACCATTCATATTGACAGTGGGATATTAAAGCCCCCTACTATTATTGTATTGCTGTTTATTTCTTCTTTCAGTTCTGTCAGTATTTACTTTATATATTTAGGTGTTTTGACGTTTGTTACATAAATACTAATAATTCTTATATCTCCATGGTGAGTTAAACTTTTTATCATTATATGACCTTTTTTGTCATTTGTTAGGCAGGAACCAAATCTGCAGGTGGCAGATACAGGCCAGGAGGGTGGTTCTTAGTGGCAGAGAAGCTGGGGCACCAATCGGGGAAGGGACTGCAGGAAAACGCAGAACACCTGACAATCATGTACATCAATCATCTGGTAACATCCCACATGTCCTGTAGGCTGGAGCAGGCCGATAAAAGGAAACCACCTGGGAGTCCTTAACATCTTTCTCCACTAATGTAGACTGCCCCATTCCTCTCTCTGGAACATATTTTCACTTAGTGTAGCTTCCTTCTTTTTGCAATACAAACTGTTTGTGTGGAATTGCTTCCTGTCTGTGGTCACTCCATCATACTGAGCCTACTTGTGATTTTTCTAAGCAAGAAGCCAAAGAACTAAAACAACAGTCCACCAAGAGGCCAGACCTGGCATCACTTGTGACTATTTTTGACTTAAAATCTGACTTTTGTCTGATGTAAATATTGCCACCCCTGACTTCTTCTGGTTACTTTTTACATGTACTTTTTCCAACTCTTCACTTTCAGCCTATGTGTATCCTCGAATGAGTCTAAAATGAGTCTCTTATAGGAAGCAAATTATTAGATCTTATTTTTTTTATCCTTTAAGCCACTCTATATCTTTTGGTTTGAGAATTTAAACAATTTATGTTTAAAATAATTACTAATAGGTAAGAACTTACTATTGCTATTTTGTTAATTGTCTTTTGGCTGTTTTGTACTTCCTGCATTCCTTTCTTTCTATCTTACTGTCTTTGGGATTTGATGACTTTTTGTGGTGATATACTTTGATTATGTTCTCTTAATTTTTTGTTGTGTATCTGCTACAGGTTTTTCCTATGTGTGGCTGACATAAAGAATTGTACAGTTATAATATCAACCTAACTTCAAACCACGTACACAAACTCTATACTTTTACTTCTCTCACCCCGGCATTTTAGGTTATTGATGTTAAAATTTACATCTTTTTCATACTGTGTATCCAAGAAGAAATTATTGTAGTTATTTTTAGTACATTTAAAAATTTTTATACCAGAGTTGAAAGAGATTTACTTAACCACCATTACAATTATTAGAGAATTCTGAATTTGACTATGTGTATACTTTTGCTGGTGAGTTGTATACATTCATGTTTTTACCTTGTTAATTAGTGTCCTTTCATTTCAGCTTGAATGATTCCCTTTAGCATTTCTTATAAAATAGGTGTAGTAGGAAAATAGACTAAGTGTCCCTCTCCATGATTCCTTTATAAAGAAAAATAGGTATAGTTATGATCCTTTTTGTTTAGTTTGTTTCTAGTTTAGATAATATAATTGATAAGTTTCTTAAGTTATCAGTCATTTGGATTTTGCTATATATGTTTTAACTATTTCCAGGCTTCTCTCAGAAGCTGAAATACTATTAAAAATTTTATTATGTATGTACCTTGGTTGTCCCTGGATTTGCATTTTTAAAATAATACCTTCTTTCTGGAACACTAGGCCATCTTCCAATTAGAAAAAAGAAAAAGAAGAAGAACATCTCTTTTTAATTTTTTTCTTATTTTATATATATTTGCCTTTTGTTCAGAGACACAAAAGGTAAAAAAAAATTTTTTTTAAAGCATATATTAGCAATATCTGTTTCTTTGGTTATATGTAGCATTAGCTGGTAGTTGACATCAATTTTTTCCCTTTTGTGTGTGTAATTTTCTAAGAAAATTCAATGGTCTCTGTCAGACCAACAAGATCTTTGCCCAGAATTATAATGAACGAAAACTCTCTGTTGGAATTTACTTATTCCTACCACTGTCTGGACTAACAGTTTCTGTTCACTTATTAATCACCCTCTGTTGCATATTTCCCTTAAAGATCTCTCCCAGATTTATAGAATTTCTCTTTATGTGACTCCAAAAAAATGAAATTCTGTGGATGAAGCCTTAATTTTAATCTTGATAACTAATTTTAGTTCCAAAATTTGTTACAGAAAACAAAAGAAAAATAGAGTTTGTTTCACTGCATAATATTTAAATATCACCTTTTCTTTTTCTTTTGAAAATATATCTTAATTTTTAATTTTGTTTTTGACAGCTCCCAAAGGATGGGCCATTATCAGAGCTCAAGACTGATAACATGAGGATATAATTACTTTGTGGCTTAGGATGTAATTACTTAGCTATTTATTTCCCATTCGGGAGCAAAAAAAGAAGTGAAAGTATTGTTTATGAGCCACTTAAAAATCTTGTTTGTTTGTTTTTTCCCCTTGGAGAAAGCAAGGAATCAAACTAATGTTTCACGTACTTTACTTTGTTCAACCTAGGATAATACACACATTGTATAGGCAACCTTTTTTTATTGTTATCATAATGTAGTTTTACTTGTCTTAAGATTTAGTAAAAGGTTTTAAAAGGAGTTTCTGTTAGTACTTAAGCAGTGAAATAATCATTTTTTCCAGCTATTCTGTTACTTATCTACTAGTGATAGCATTTCCAAACATCAGTGTTTACTTTTGAAACTTGAAAAACTAATTAAATGAGGTCTGATAACGAATATTTTTTGGTATAGATTGGAGATAAATTATTATAAATTATCTTAGAGCTAGATTTTGAATATTTTATTCCAAAGTTCTTGTCTTTGAAGTCATTTAAAATTTCTTTTAACAAAATGTTTGTAGATATACAAATGATTTCTCTCCACATTTTATAAAAGTATGATATAACTTTTACCATACTCCCTCCTTAGTTTCCACTTTGAAGGAAAAAAAAAGCTCCTGATAAAATATGCTTTTTAAGAAGCCTCTCTAAAAAGAATATGCTTTGGCCTTCTCCAGGCAGTCAGATAGAATATTAAAGATTCAGTTGCCATGGGAGTAGAAGAAGGAAAGGAAAGGAAAGGTGCTAAGGAAAAATCACTTAGCACCCACTCTTCAAGATCATTCTCTTACTTCCTGTTTCTAACTCTGTTTTCCCTTGAACTTGAAAAACTGATTAAAAACTGGGGTCATGGATGAAACAGGAAAATTTGAGTATGGACTCAGCATTGCCTTAATTATGATTTTGTTACCTTGACTTAAGGATGTCTGTTCAATTCCAGAAACTTGAAAATATATATAATATGTATAAACAAGCTTCACCTCACTCTTCAAATGATTCCTCTTCCCCACCTCTTAATGTCCCTCTAAGAAATGTGACAAAACCTTATGTAATCTTTTACTATTAGGAGCACTAAAATTTTAGTACTAGCAAATTTGCTAAAAGGAAAACTTATGAGAAATTTTGATTTTTGTTACCTTTGCTACTGCTTATATGTGACTATATATAGGTAGAATTCTTTGGTAATTATTGAAAGTTTATAAAATTTGTTAAAATGGTAATAAACTAAATCTATCAATGATGCTTAATTATCTTGGCTGTCAAGGATCTATTGCTTGCATACTGTCCTACTCGTTAGGTTTTAGAGTAAATGTTTACAGATAAATTATTCAGGTTAATGTACATGTAGAGATTTTAGTTATCTAGGTGTAGATTTCTAGATTTCTGATATTGTTTACATTTTAATGAAAATGATGGCATTGTTAGGAGGAAAATACAAAACCTTGCAAGATTCTTTGCTCCTTTTCCTAATACTAAAGCTGAGCCTTTTATTTCAAGTTTACAATTCCATTTACTAATGTAAGAATGATTATATTACACTTACGGTTTTTCCTTCTTCTCAGGTTCATCCTCTGGATATCTAAAAGCCTCAACTCATCAGGGTGCCATAGATGTTTATGTCAGCCAACTGGGGAAAGTGGAATTGAAATCCCATAAAGGTTAGCCAAATGGAATGTTTTATTTTGACATATGGTGTAAGGAAGGTTTACATAACACTTCAGAAACAGATGGTCAAATTATCTATATTGACATAGTGATTTCAAGAAAATGTCATCTGATAGAACTTGATTTAAAGACTGATCTACTTGCTGTCTAGACCAGTCATCCCTACAACTTTTGGGACAGATGGCCATGAAGACTATCTTTCCCTTTGTAGTACAAACAAAAATGTTGTAACATTTTGACTGTTATTGTGAATTTTTTAAAGGTTGCTAAGTGGGTTTTTCAGTTTAGTCTTATGTTTGAAATGGAATATTCTTTGGAGGGAAAATGTTTCCATACATTCTTTTGGAAGCTTTTCTACCAGTCTGTAAGTAGCACTTCTGAGACTATCAGTGTAGAGTAATAGTCTTCAAAGTGTGATCCTGAAATAAAGGTATCACGACGATGGTCCTCTAAGTGATTGTTGACTTAGTCTTTTGAAGTATCAAGACTTACGTATAATGTGTCTCTTTCTATAATTTAGTTTCTAATATAAATAACTTACTCTAAGAGTCTAAGTCTTTCATTAAAAATGATATACTTTATGTTCATTTGAAAGCTAAATGTCAGTCTGTGCCTGTGTACGCTAGCATGTACATGTACATGGTGACAAGTGCTTGGGTGGGGTAAATTGGCCACAAGGGTTAAAGTGGCCTTGATGTACAAAGTTAAGAACTATAGCTCTGTGTAAAAAAATTTAAAAATTGTCTAGAAGCTCTTACACATTGGCCAGAACAGGGCTATATGTGTAACAAGGAAAGTATTTCTTTACAGGGGCTGGTTATTCCTGCTATTAGTAATTTTTTTTGCCATGCTGATTTAATAGTTTTTTTTATCCAGCCAGATGTGGTGGCTCACGCCTGTAATCCTAACACTCTGGGAAGCTGAGGCAGGCGGATTGTTGGAGCTCAGCAGTTCGAGACCAGCCTGAGCAAGAGTGAGACCCCATCTCTATGAAAAAAAATAGAAAGAAATTAGCTGGACAACTAAAATATATATATAAAAAAAAAAATTAGCCAGGCATGGTGGCGCATGCCTGTAGTCACAACTCGGGAGGCTGAGGCAGGAGGATCACTTGAGCCCAGAAGTTTGAGGTTGCTGTGAGCTAGGCTGATGCCACAGCACTCTAGCCCAGCAACAGAATGAGACTGTCTCAAAAAAGAAATTTTTTTAAATAGAATTTTTTTCATCTACCTAGGCTCTCTTGTCAGAGTGTCAAAATAAAACTGCAGAACACAGATCTAAAACTGAAATTATTTCTGACAACAGTTGTGATTTCTCAAGATCACATTTTTGCTTAAAATAAGATAATACTGTATCCTCACTAAATTTCTAAGAGCTATAATAATACCATTCAGGGTAAATTGTAAAAGCCATATAAGTCATATAATATGCATTCTCTTATTATAAAGAGCCAAGGAGAAAAAAATATATATTATTAAGTAGTAACAGAGTAAAAACAAAGTTTCGAATGAGCAGCTCTTAAATAAAAATTATTTCCTGTTTTGTATGGTGGCCAAAAAAGTAAAACAAAACAAACAAAAAACTTTAAAACTTTTGAAGATTGTTAACTTTCATTTATTGAAAATATTTTTGATTATTATTCAGAATGTTGTTCTAGCAACCTATTGAAATAGCATATGATGTTGCAAAATTTGATTAGGATTACAATTTTGTGTTTTCTCTTACTGGGACCATATTACTGGCAGAAGCTTAAAGATAACTGGAAACAAAGATTTCTGTTTTACTTCAGATCTCTTAATTCTCATTACACTTGGGAACAGTAACTTTTTAGAGTAATGGAAAGTTGTTCAGAACTCAGTTACTTAATGGTTAGTAAAGACATCTGGAATCCATTCCAACTTTGCCACTGTCTTGCTGTAGGATTCAGAGCCAGCCACTTCAGTCTCTTAGATCTTCACCATTTTGCCATGTGAAAAAAAAATATCTGTAATGCTTATTTTCTTTTTCTTTATGGAATGTTAATGTAATGACCTTTTTTATGCATTCAGAATGGTTATGCTTAAGGCTGGAGTCATACCTAAATTTGAGTTCTGACTTTTCCACTTAATATTTTGTCCTTGGGAAAATCACTAATCTTAATATAGTATGCCTTCGATAAATGATACTGTTAGTATTAATATACTTTTGAACTTTTAAGAGGGCAGTATTGATATCAACCATAAACAAGACTATGAATAGAAAAGAGGTTGAAGGCAAAACAAGAGCTCTTCTTTCTAAAAAAGATAGTGTTAAAGATGGAACATTAGGAAAGTTTTCAAACCTTGAGAAGTCTTTGTTCACAAACAGTTGTGGAGTTTTGGTAGTGATGGTTTTTGTTATTTAAAGATGTGGTAACAGACCTGGGTGGTGACTCACGCCTGTAATCTTAGCACTCTGGGAGGCTGATGTGGGCGGATTGTTCAAGTCAGGAGTTTGAAACCAGTCTAAGCAAAAGCGAGACCCCCTTCTCTACTAAAAATAGAAATTAATTGGCCAACTAAAAATTTAGAGGAAAAAATTAGCTGGGCATGGTGGCTCATGCCTGTAGTCCCAGCTACTCAGGAGGCTGAGGCAGGAGGACTGCTTGAGCCCAGGAGTTTGAGGTTGCTGTGAGCTAGGCTGACGCCACTGCACTCTAGCCTGGGCAACAGAGTGAGTGAGGCTCCATCTCAGAAAAAAATGTGGTAGGAGATGGTGATAGAACTCTAAATCTCACTTATTTAAGATCATGTTAGGCCGGGCGCTGTGGCTCACGCCTGTAATCCTAGCTCTTGGGAGGCCGAGGCGGGCAGATTGCTCAAGGTCAGGAGTTCGAAACCAGCCTGAGCAAGAGCGAGACCCCGTCTCTACTATAAATAGAAAGAAATTAATTGGCCAACTGATATATATATAAAAAATTAGCCGGGCATGGTGGCGCATGCCTGTAGTCCCAGCTACTCAGGAGGCTGAGGCAGGAGGACTGCTTGAGCCCAGGAGTTTGAGGTTGCTGTGAGCTAGGCTGACGCCACGGCACTCACCCTAGCCTGGGCAACAAAGCGAGACACTGTCTCAAAAAAAAAAAAAAAAAAAGATCATGTTATTCATTTAAGAGCAGAAAAAAGTGTTCATAAAATTATCACATTTGATAATTTAGAGATATAAAGTCCTAGAAAAAAAGTTTTTTAAATCCCTGATTTTCTACTTTTGAAAGTATGTTTGGTAGAAAAACATGTATATTATATTCATCCTGAAATCTTCTAAAATTTTTATTTTGTTTCATTTTTTCCTAAAGCCTCATAGGCTGTTATGGGGAATTTCCTGTTAGTAGTTTACATTTGAACCCTGGAAAGCAATTTGTTTTTTAATAAAATAACCAAGTCGTAGTGATGCACTTTCTTCCTCATATTTTTTAAGGAGTTAATATGAGAGTTCATCAGTCTTACCCCAAACTTCCACCTCCAGTTAGGAAGACTGAGAAGATATGAGATTACTTAAGGAAACTTAAGCTAATGTTAACCAGACTAACAGGAAAACCATGACCCATAACTAAATGCATTCTAAAGGAATCTTTATAATAACATTCACAATGGATGTCATCTGAACTGCCTTCATCCACAGAGATGGAGTTATTGCTTTATGGCAGGGGCCTCTTACCTACTTTATTTGATGAGAAACTGAAAAAAAAAAAAAACCTTCTGAAATAATCTCAGAGATGTGTTGGTGAATTTGCACTGTAACTCACATAATTGTTTTGAAAAATTCCATGGCTAACAGAGTCCTTTTTCTGATTTACTCCTTTAAAAGCTTGAATTACAACCAGATTGTAATGGAAAAAAGTTGAGGTGCCCAAAAGCCTGAAATCCTCTCAAAAGAAACATGTCAGTTGGCATTCAAATAATCTCGTGTGTGTGTGTGTGTGTGTGTGTGTGTGTGTGTGTGTGTGTGTGTGTGTGTTTGGAGACAGTGTCACCTAGGCTGGAGTACATTACAGTGGTGCTGTCATGGTACACTATAGCTTCAAACTTGTAAGTTCAAGTGATCCTCCTGCCTCAGCCTCCTGAGTAGCTGGGACTACAGGCATGCACCACCATACCCAGCTAATTTTTTTTTATTTTTTAGAGATGGAGTCTCGCTATATTGCCTAGGCTGCTCTCAAATTCCTGGCCCCAAGTGATCCCTCCATCTCAGCCTCCCAAATTGCTGGGATTAGGGGCTTGAGCCACCACACCCAGTCACAAATAATCCCTTTTTTATATTGTTATTTTTCCTTATACACAAGGCACAACCATGAAAGCACAAGAGCTCAGCATTCAAATTATGTTGTAATGACCAATGAGGATACCAGCCTTGCAGTATAATGAGGGAGCAGTGTGTGAAATACCATGGTGATTAAAAGCATGGGCTTTGTATTTATTGAGCTGAATCTAGGTTCCAACACTAGCTTTAGTGGGAACTTGAATAAGTTCTTATCTATAAAATGAGAATGATAATACCTCAAACTTGATATAGGAATTAAGATATAATATAACTAGGTATCTGGCTCTTAGTAAATGTTCAGCAGTAAATCCTGCCTATAAGCTACATATGTACTCACTTTCTGGTATTGGATGATCTGAATAGGGCTATTGGCAAAAGAAAAACTAGTAGTTCATAATGTCCTAATGACCCATACTCTTGACACAAGTTACTGTGAATAAACTTGAGAGTAAGGAAACTTTGACCACCTGAGAGTAAGGAAAAGGCACTACTATTAATATTTAAATAAATACTGTATGATAAACAGTATATCAGGAGCAATGCTACTGTTTGAATCAAATTTATAGTAGAGTCTGGTGCTTTTGATTTCCTTACATTAATAAGCTCTCCTCTGAATTTATTACAGGCTCTGTTATTGTCAAGGTCCCATCTTCTCTTCCAACTTATTTACAGTTATCAGGGAAAGAG